CACAGCACAGACATTGAAAATCGGCGCCGGCGTGAACGTGTTTAAAATCTAATCCTACATTTAACATGTTTTATTTTTCTTTTTATTTTTATTTGATATTATTTCTAATTGTTTATTTATGATATCAAAAATGATCATTTTTGAAATGATGAGAATATAATATATCTAAACGTGTGAATAAAATTTCAATGTTATTTGATTAAACAAATTGTAATTATTATGTTCAGGTAAATATCGAGTTCGTCGTAAATTTCCATTACCAAGAACGATATGGGACGGTGAAGAAACGTCATATTGTTTCAAGGAAAAATCAAGGAGTATACTGAGAGAATGGTACGCAACCAATCCTTATCCATCGCCACGTGAAAAACGTGAATTGGCTGAGAACACGGGTTTAACGACAACGCAAGTCAGCAATTGGTTTAAAAATCGTAGACAAAGGGACCGGGCAGCTGAACATAGGTGAGTTTTCATTTTAAATAATTCATTCAACATCTAATCATCATCTAATAATGATTCATAATCATCATCATCCCCCTTACCTAACAAGAAAGATATAAATTTCATATATGTGCCCATAATTATGAAAGTAGTCTAACCATAAGTCAAAATAAAACCAAAAAAAAGAAACAATTAAGTTTAGCAGTTATTTTAGGTTATGTTATTTTAATTTTAATTAATTTAATGTCATTGTGTGTCAATACATATATATAATAAACCGTTAGATAGGGTTTCTTTAAGTCAACGAATTACCTTATACCGTCATCTGTTAGAATCTTATCGAACTAATACAGATAATCATGACTCTTTGTTAATTAACAAATAATATTGCAATTATAAATTGAGATATAAACTGTCCTATCTTTCAAGTTGGATGAAACTGCACACAGTGTGCAAAATTTGATTAAAATCGGTCTAGTAGTTTAGGAGTCCATTGCGAACAAACAACGTGACACGTAATTTATATATATTAAGATAAGATAAACTATCCTATCTTTGAAGTTGGATGAAACTGCACACAGTGTGCAAAATTTGATTAAAATCAGTTCAGTAGTTTAAGAGTCCATTGCGAACAAACAACGTGACACTTAATTTATATAATATTATATAAATTATAAAATATTATTAAATCACTTTTTCATAATTCTGATCACATGTATATACCTCTGGGTGTATGTGTATCAGTATAATATAATTTATTGATAAATTTTCATAATTTTGTTATATACACTTAAAAATTCCTATATACATGTAAACATACACATATATATATATNCATATATATATATATATATATATATATATATATAGTTTATGATAAGTAGGAATTCAAGTTAGCAAGAATCATCATCATCTCTCAGCTGTCGCATCGTAAAACGAGGAGGAACCGCGAGAATGCGTAGGAGGTGTTTTACTCTTCTTGTTTAGTTTCGTGTTGTTTCGAAGGTCGTTGCTCTATATCCGATTTTAGAAACGACCGACCAAATTCAAAAGGCCCCCTGTAACACCAAGTCTATAACACGTTGCTTCTTCTTCTTCTTCTTATTTTTATACTTGTTTTTCTTTTTTTTTTTTTAATTCTTACTCTTCCTTCTTCATGTTTCTTGGTTTACTCATATGAAGTCTCCCACGTTGTGTGATATTCCGTTCATATTCATGTTCACGTTCACGATTCACAATTTACTATTTGGTTTCATCATATATATATATATATATATATATATATAATGTATATAATATCATTTCAGTTAGAATTGTTGAAATATTTATTCAAAAGTCATCATCTCACCTTTTTAATGAATGAACTTTAAATTCATCCATCTTCAAAACATCTGTTTGATTAAAAACATTTTTAATAATCCAATGAATAAACGAGAATGATCATTTCAATTAGAATTGGTTGAAATATTTATTCAAAAGTCATCATCTCACATTTTTAATGAATTAACTTGAATAGTGAATCTTTCATCCAGTTTTGATATGAAATACAAAGTTATATTGATTCTTAACCTAAAAATTATTATAATATCATCCCCCATGACCATGAATTTAGTTTGGAAAGAATCATTGATGCGAATGGTGGTTAAAAGGACAGTGCTTTATTCCTCCTTCGTGTATTACGATAAAATAATAATAATAATAATAATAATAATAATAATAATAATAATAAAAAAGAATAAAAATAAGAAGAAGAAGAGTTTGCCAAAGGGAGGAAGTGGGAAGCACCATCATGGTTAAAGTCAGTCGGCACCGGCGCGGTACACACCACCACTGTACCACACCACGTCACGCCACAAGAAACGTATCGAATTTCTTATGGCTTCTGTATATTCCCATGAACGAAAGCAAGCGAATAGAAAAAGAAGAACTGAAAGAGAATGTGTGTTCTGTGTGTGAATGAAATAGATAGAAAAAAATAATGAAAAAAAAAAAGGATAGAGATAGAGTGATGAGAAGAGGGTGAAGAAGAAAAAAAAACAGAAGAAGAGTACTAGTAGTAGTAGTAGTAGTAATAGTAGTCTACTAGTGTCCTGCCAATAACTTTTGGTATTGGTTGGCAGTATCCTGGATACTGCAAAGGGAAAAGGAGGAAAAGGAGGAGGAGGAGGAAGGAGGAGGAAGGACATCATTCCTGGCATATTAATTACAGGAAATCCCACAAAAGTTTCCACCCACAACGTGCCACAACCGTTGGTTACTACCATTACTTGTTGTGTCTTCCTTAAACCACCCCACCTACCCTAAAATATCGACATCCAGACAATGTTTCATCAATTCCCTTCTTTTCTTCCCCCTTCCTATTCCCCTTTTCCATGTCCCCCTTCCCCTCCTCCGCCCGCCCCCCGCCCCCGCCCCACCTTTTTCCTCTCACCAAGTTGCTTTATTCTTCTTATCTTTTATCTTTGTTTTTAATAATAACCTATCTTTTTCTTGTGCAAACCTTTCATCAAACCAATTCATCTTTTCTTTAGGATTTGCTGGTGGATAATAGTGATATGATTAATAATTTGATTTAATTTTATCAGGATGACCTATTAAATACAGTCACTTGGTTAGTTTGGGGGAAGGGAGGGGGAGGATAGGATTGGATAGAATAGGATAGGGGGGCGGGGGTAATGCTTTTTAAGTTCTTTCTTTCAATATGTGTGTGTGTAGTTTATTATTATTATTTCGTTGATAAGCTAGTATGATGTGTAGGTCCCGTAATTTTGTTGTCCCCATGGGACAGGGGCGTCTTGTTGTGGGCGTCAGCAAGCAAATATGAGAATGTTGTTTTATTTATCATCAATGGTAATCTCCCTTGGGGTATCTGTTTTCATTTAATCATTTAGAATTTGTCTTTACTCTAAGTTCATTTCCTCCTTTATGCTTTTGACACCCTCTATATTGTTATCTTTCAAATTGTATCAATTCTTATCTCATAAGTGATGACACAAATTTGATTGACAAGGGTTTTTCTTCCTTTTTTTTTTTTCTTCATTTTTTTCTTTTAACGTGTCGTTCGGTTTGTTTTCATTATGGGGTTACAGATATTATTATCATCGTTGACAGATTATTATTCGTTAAATTAAATGAAACTTAAATGAAGTCATTATTAATAACAAAATATATCAATTTAGTTTCATTTAAAACGTAATCAAATTATTCTACGCAACATGGGGGGGGGCTATTTGATTAATTAAAATTCTATGCCGCAAAGAGTTAAGGGGGGGGGGTTAATTATGGATTACAGGTATTATTATTGATATATTATTATTAATTATTAATTTGATTGTAATAATTAATTTAAAAACTAAAAGTATAACCCTCTTGTCTCATATATATTTGTGATAAGAACACGAATAGTCGTCGTCTAGACTGTAATGGCGCCATGTACGAACGAATCTTCTAATCAGCATCTTTCATATCTCTTTTTACCATTTCAAAAACAAAGTGTTATTCTCTTTCTTTCTATCTATCATTCTCTCTCTCTCACTCTTTCACACTTTCATTTGCTACGTTTTTATTCTGTTATCGGATACTATCAGTCTTATTGTGTCTTGAATTAAGAACTAACGAATGAACGTACGTAAGTACGAAGATGTTTCAAAACGTAGCATTAAAAGACAACGCATAATCTTATTACATACCAATGATTATTATTCCTTTGTCATCATCCATGTAAGTTATTCATTTGGTCGTCTCATCTTCTTAAAGTTTGAAGTTGTTGCATTTTTTGAACACACACACACACAGACAGAGAGAGAGAGAGAGAGAGAGAGAGAGAGAGAGAGAGAGATAGATGGATGGTTTTTTAGTAATAGCTGTCCTATGCACTTTTTCTTACAAAAGGGATGCTGACTTTTTATCTCTTGCAACTTAGAGGAATATAAACATTTTGAGGTTATGCATTATATTCTATTTCTTTGTGTTAGATTCTGTTATTTGATTTCTTTCTTCTTTTTTTTCTTAGTTTTTTTTTTCTTCAGTATCATTACACACGCATACGCATAATACAATATGTTTTCATTTTAGGAATTATACTTTGATTTGATTCATATTTAATTAATAGTTGTTGTGTTGTTTCAAAACACAATTGGAATATATAAATTATAATTGAAATATTATATTATATTTAATATTATTAAGATAATATAACTTGTTGTTTTATTATATGTTAGTAAAAAGAATATTATTAAATAGGAGGCATATTTTAATTTGACTTATATTTAATTAATAGTTGTTGTGTTGTTCTGTGTTGTTTTGTGTTGTTTTGTGTTATGTTGCTAAAACACAATTGGAAGATATAAATTATAATTTAAATATTAAATTAATTTAATATTATTAATTAGTAATTATACTTTAATTTGACTCATATTTAATTAATAGTTGTTGTGTTGTTCTGTGTTGTTTTGTGTTGTGTTGCAAAAACACAATTGGAAGATATACATTATAATTTAAATATTAAATTAATTTAATATGATTAATTAGAAGTTACACTTTAATTTGACTCATATTTAATTAATGGTTGTTGTGTTGTTTTGTGTTGTGTTGTGTTGCTAAAACACAATTGGAAGATATAAATTATAATTTAAATATTAAATTAATTTAATATTATTAATTAGTAATTATACTTTAATTTGATTTATATTTAATTAATAGTTTGTTGTGTTGTTCTGTGTCGTTTTGTGTTGTTTTGTGTAATGTTGCTAAAAAACAGTTGGATATATAAATTATATTTTAAATATTATATTAATTTAATATGATTAATTAAGAATTATACTTTAATTTGACTCATATTTAATTAATGGTTGTTGTGTTGTTTTGTGTTGTTTTGTGTTGCTAAAACACAATTGGATATATAAATTATAATTTAAATATTAAATTAATTTAACCTTCCTTTGCTTACTTACCACCCTTTCTGGAGTAACACGCTTACCACACACGGGTCCAAAGGACCCGGACGATAAAAAACGTTATAA